ACACACACACTCACACTCACTGTATTCTGACCCCTACATTGCTCATTCCTTCTCAGTCCTTTTTTCATTTGCATGCACAAGTAACAGACATTTGTGCACATGCATACACACAATACCTCCTTTCTCTCATTTTCAGACGCTCTCTCACACACACCTAACAACACAATACTCCCTTTCACATGCACACACACACACACATACACAGCAGTGACACCGATTCCTTCCCTGTGATGTATTTCAGCTCTAAGGCTTGTTAATCCGCGCTGCTCGGTACACAGTCAGGCTGATATTGTTTGATTAAAGCATTTACAGTGTTCAAAGTAATGGGTTTTCCCCCAGTTACCCAGATTTACATGGTTTCACATTATAGATTAGACTTCACTCAGAGAGGACTTTGATATCATGAGATCCAGCACTCTGTCCTCCCAATATCAGTATTATTGACTAGTACACTAGGTAATGTACCATTTAGTCCTAGGTAAGAGGAACATGGATGTAAAGATTGGAGGGTTACCTTTGGATTTGTAGGAACGTTTTGAAACTTTCACCTTCAACTTTGTCGTCAAAAAGGAGAAATCTGACGTGCACCCAAATGAAACACAGGCATCAGAATAAAATGCATAAAACATAAAGAATTGCTAAATCCGCCACACATAAAACATTCATAAAGTGACAACTTAATGCCTGTAGTGCATCCAGCCATCATCATCTAAGTCAAACATCAATGCTTAAAACACCGTCATTATACAACTGTTTTATATTATCAGAATTCAGCAGTTTGATCACATGAAAGAAAATGATTTCTCACCCTGTTAGACCTGGACTTTGTCACTCTAAATTTCCAGAAGCTCAAACTCTAGGACACTCTAAAAGGATTTCAGTCCTTGAAATTGCTCTCTTCTGAAAAATGTGAGACAGATCCAACAGTTTAACATCTATGACTTTGCAGTTGAAGTTACTGGGACTGCAAAATCTGAATTTTGAAAATGGTGAGGAAGTCTTGGTGGAGTTACTTTAGACAAACGCTGACTATGACTGTGAAGGTCTTAAGACTGACAGTCAATGTCAGCCTAAGAACATAGTGTTGCATCACAGTCCCTGGGGCTATGACACCAAGGTATGTCAAGCCATTGTCATTTGAATATCTGTCATGCCAGAGCCGTATTCTAACTCTACCAGCCCTTAACCTAAAAAACGTTTTATTCTCATACACCTACACAGGACTGTCTCATATATTCTATATAAAAATACTTTTTTATGTTTAGGAATGAACCTGCTATTGTTCCCACTATTCCCATAATGCCTCAATCCTGAATAATCAGACTTTACAAGAACCAAAAGCAGTCTTTCTCTTCAAAGACACTCCTCTTTCTGGAATGAAGCAAAGCCTGCAAAGCCCTCCCTCTCTGTGTACAGATAAACTGAAACTACTTCAGTCATTTCTTATCTTTCAGCCATCAGACACCTGCTCTCGTCTGAAAGCAACATGGCACAAGGGATTAAACTTGAACGGGATAAATTTTGCTGCTCAATCTGTATGGATCTACTGAATGATCCAGTGACTGTTGCTTGCAGTCACAGCTACTGCATGAGGTACATCAAGGACCGCTTAGATAAAGAGGATAATCAGGGATTCTACAGCTGCCCTCAGTGCAGCCACATCTTCATACAGAGGCCTGTCCTGGTGAAAAATAACATGTTAGCGTTTGTCGTGGACGAACTGAAGAAGGCTGTCCAAGTTCCAGCTGCTCCTGCTGATCACTGCTATGCTGGACCTGAAGATGTGGCCTGTGATGTCTGCACTGGGGAGAAAACTGAAAGCCTTCAAATCTGTCTGCAATGTTTGGCTTCCCTATTGTGAGAAACACCTCCAGCATCATTATGATGTAGCTCCATTTAATTACACAAGCTAGGTGGGAAGCAACTGCACAGCTCCAGGAGAACATCTGCTCTCGGCCATCATACTGCCGTATCTGGATCAGCGTTGAATCTGCTATCTCTTGCTCCAAGGCATGACCATTAAAGGCCCATAACAAAGTCTCAGCTGCAGCAGAAACTAGAGAGGCAGAGAGGCTTGGGTGACTCGGGAGAAAAATCCCAGCAGAGAATCAGGAAAAAGAGAAAACATTTGAAGTTGTTTCAGCAGGAACGAAGATTCAAGCTTAAATCACTCTGCCGAAAAATGCACTGAGGCGAACACTCACAGGGTTCTTTCGGAAAGAAACGGCCGTATCATTGAGAAAAGAGATCTCTGATGTGAAGGAAAAGATCAAATCTCGGCAGAAAACTGAGTGGGTTGTACAGAAATGTTCTTGGGAGAAGCTGCAGCAGGAGATCGCTGAGCTGAAGAGGGAAAGATGGTTTGGCCTGGAGAAAGCTCTCGCACTCAGAGGATCACACCCAGCTTTCTATTAAACTACCCATCACTGTCAGGTCTCAGTGGGAATCAAAGACCCACCAGTGTCAAAAGTTCGCCGTCTGCAGGTACTTTGAGGAAGGTTACAGTGTCTTGTCAGAGGCCAGAGATAAACTACATGAAGTTATTGATGAAGAATTTGCAAAAGAATCGCAATGACCAGTAACTGAAGCCCAAGTATTTATCACCCACTTCCCCACAGAGCCAAATCAGAGCCAACTCTTTATATTCATGCCAAATAACACTAAGATGAAAACACTGCAAACCCACATGTGTCAGAACTAAAGGGACAGAAAGGCAGCATTTGTGAGAGAAGAACAGAAAATATCCTCTTCATCCAGAGAGGTTTGCATATTCCTGGCAGGTCCTGAGTAGAGAGAGTCTGATGGGGATGTTACTGGGAGGTGGAGTGGAGCGGGAGAGGAGTTTTAGTTAGCAGTTGCATACAAGGAATATCAGCCAGAGCAGGGGCCTTCGACGGAAAGCGTGTTTGGACACAATGA